CCTTCATGGCCCTGTGGCCAGCCCTCCTTTGAAAGCAGGAAACCATCTGTAGCATCTTGATGTTACTTGCCAGCCTCTTCTTGGTTGCCTCCCCTGATAGGGGGCTCACTACTCTGTGACAGTAAGAAAGCTACCTTTGTCCTGAGCTGAAAGCTGCCTCTCTATTCCCTCCTCTGAGTCATTTCTAGCCTAGCACTCCGTGAGGGAGGAACATGCCGATCTCTGCAACAGCCGGCCACCTTCCTCCTACTCCACACCAGGGTCTACACTCCTACCAGAGCAGGCTGGCTACGTCCCTCATGTATGCTGGGTGAGGGAGATAAGAGGATTCCAGAAAGGGCGAGTCAGGTGATGCTTCTGATCCTCCCATGTGGCAAGGGAGGTAGGAGGTAGAGAGCCATCCACACTCTCCCCCACCATGCGTTAGCAGCCAATAACATGCCCTCCAGCCACTTAGAGGGGGCAGGTTATGTACCTGGCTGTGTCAAGGGCAGTTCGACACACAGGTGCTGGGAGAACAGACCCGGAGCTCATGGGCCTGCACAACGTTGAACCTGCCCTGGCTGCCTATCCACTGGGGACCCCATGGGCGGGGCCCAGCTGCACAGGCGGGCACATTGCCTCCCCTGCTCCGGGACCAAACGCCCCTTGGACATTCTCTGCTGCGCTACTGGGGACGGGGCGTGTTGCTGAGGCTCTGAGTTGTCACTGAGGTTTGGGTGTTGTGGAACTTTTGGGGGGCACAGTAGAACTCAGAGAGCCCAGGGCCGGGATGGGAGGGTAGGGGCAGTGGGGATCTCTGGACCTTCTGCAACTGCTCACCATGGTCCTGACCAACCTGTGCTTGATCTGACGGTGTCTGTGGGTCCTTGACTGTGGCCACGGTTCTGGGGTGTTTTAGAGGCTCTGATGTGATGCTGGAGTCCTGGGCGTTCATGGGGGTGATACCGAGGTTCCCAGAGTTCTTGTGGTGGGACCATAATTCTGAGGATATTACTGAGATTCTGGACATGCTCTAGAGGATCTGGGAGTCCTTAGGGGTGCTTCTGAGATTTGGGGGATACTGCTGGCCTTCCTTATTCCGTCTGGCCCATTGTCAGCTCCCTTTAAGCCTAGCACTTTGCCCTGTGAGGATTTTGATAACCACAGGCTGCTGAAGGCACACACGTGGGCCTCTGTTCCTGGATGCAAACATTCCTCAGATTTAATCAACTTGAACAAAAACACGAGGAGGAAGGAAGCACAGTCATCCCAAGGCCTTTGTGGGCCAGCTCCAGCCCTTGGGGCAGGGCAGGGCAGCTCTGTGCCAGGCCCAGGTGGCAGATGGCCTTGATCTTCGTGGAGCCCAGAAGAGCTTTGGGACCCCCTCCTACAGTGATCAGGGCTTAGCCATCCCCCACTCTGTGCCCAGCTGGGTGCTTTCTGGCCTGGGCTGCCCTTTAGGTGTTTGCATCAACTTCATCTGATTATGGCCACACGGGCTCATGCAGGACACAGCTAGGTAGCCCTGACCCCTGCCCTGTCTTTTTGCCTTCCAGACTCTGCTTCTCAGCTCTCCTAAGACACCTCATTCTTACTACCTTGGCTGACCCTGTGTGACCTTGGGGCCCTGCTCCAAGCCCCCCCACCTTCAGGAAGCCTCCAAGACTGTCCAAGACATCTCATTATTCCCCCTCCTCACCTCTCTTCTCTGAGCTTCTGCAGTCTGTCCCTGAAGTACCTCCACTCTCCAGCCCCTGATGGCAAGTGCCAGTCTCCGATTCTGCTGGGTATGAGTCACCCTATAAAGCCAACTCCAAGGGCACCCGAGCAGCCCAGTTGGTTAAGCATCTGACTTCGGCTCATGTCGTGATCTCACAGTTCGTGAGTTCGAGCCCCGCATTGGGCTCTGCACTGACAGCTCAGAGCCTGGAGCCTGCTTTCAATGCTCTGTTTCTCTCTTTCTCTTGCTGCCCCTCTCCCATGTGTGCTCTCTCTCTCTCAAAAATAAATAAATAAACATTAAAAGAAGCCTATTCCAGTGGGTAGGCTGTGGACTCTGCAGGACTTTGGAAAAATTCTTCAGGAGCATATCATTACCATCTTTTTTATCTCAGTCGATTTCCTGGCTGCTTGCAGTCAGGCCAGGTGCTGTCTTTCCTAACATCTTGGAGCCAACCTTCCCATTTTACAGATGCAAGCACCAAGCTCTTCCGGCTCCAAGCCGAGGAGGTACTCTGGGCTCAAGAAGTGGGGTCCCTCTCCCAGCCCGAGCATGTGCCACCCAGTGTCCATGGATTTTCGTCCCGGCCTGCCTCCCTCCCTGCCCTGCACCAGAGTGGGTAGAGAGGCTGCAAGCCAGGAGGGCAGGTAGAAGACAACAGGGGACACTTGGGTAGTCACAGCCTCTGGCTCTGGCCTTCTTGCCACAACCAGTGCCTGGTGTGCTGGCTCCACATTCTTGGGCCATGAAGTCATTGAGAGCAGTGAGTAGTGACCTTGGGGAGAGGAGAGCCCACAATCAAAGACTCCCCAGGCTGGTAGCCCCACCCCTCCTGGGGCAGAGGCAGGGTTGGGACCCAGAGGGGCCAAGGGGACACTCACGGTCACACAACCAGCCCCAGGGCTCAGGTAGGCTGCGTCCCCAACCGGGAAACAGTGTTCTTTCCTCCCGGGCTGGTCTCTGCCTATTTCCAGCATGGCCCTGATCAAGGTGGTACTGGGCACCAGGTTGCCTTCTGTCATCTGGGCCCACACCCCCCAAGGAGAGGGACAAAGCTCTCAACTTGCTCACCTCTGGTGAGGGGCTCCCTGAAGACGGCCTCTGCATCTCCCTGGGTGAGGAGGGAGGTGATATCATGGGTGCTGGGGTAGCCCTTGCAGGGAGGCCACTGGAAGGCATGTACTGGAAGTCCCTTTGGGGGTGGGGCAAGGTTCAGTTGGGGGGAGGTGCTGTGGGGGAGGGCCTGGGCCCTGGGCTCCCCCAGGGCCCCTCCCTGCCAGGCAGCCTAGATGTATTTCCTTGGTGCCCAGCTGGGTCCCCCTCCCTTCCTCCAGGTCTCTGCTCAAATGTCTCCTCCTGACCAGGGCTTTCCTGACCATCCAGCCTAACGCAGCCACCTCCTGTCTGGCTGTCTCTCTTCTCTTGTCCCTGTTTATTTCCCCTTTCAGTACTCACGACACAGCTCTCCCCACTGCCCTGGTACACGTTAGGCTCCCTGTCTTGCTTGTTGCTACATTCTCAGTCTGTAGAGCCTTCCCTGGCACATAATCAGCTTGCGATCAACCTTTGCTGAATAAATGACTGGATGAACAAACCAGACTGGGGAGGCTCCCTCCAGGGAAGGAAACGGTCTCTGACAGGCAAGACGGTCCAGCTATGAACATAGCGGGAGTGAGGTCCCCATCACGGACTGGACTCCACTGGTTGGAGATATCGTGATGGGGATTTAAGATCAGGCAGGACTTAGTTGATCTCTAAGCTTGGGGTCCAAAACTCCTGAGCAGAGAAGGGAAGGTGGGGCTCTGGTGTGGGAGCAGAGGGTTCCGAAAAGCCTAGCTGGAGAAACAGTAGCCTGCACAGGACAGGCCCCTGAGGGACGGATGGTCACTAGAACAAGCAACAGCTTTGCCAAACCCAGTTTGTAAAGTCGTCACCCGGGAGCCCCATACTGTGCATCAGCAGGAGAAGGGAGGAGGACCTTGCAGCCAGGCCTGGGGGGGGATGGTGGCTGGATGCACCCCAGGTTCCCGGGATCGGATGGGAAGCGTGGGCTCCCGCATTGCATCATATAAAGTACAGATTCAGTTCTGAGTCAGCTGACACTGACAACTCTGTGGGATGCGGGACAGCAGTTCTGAGCCCTCTTCCTGGAAGAGGGGCCGTTTGGGAAGGAGGGAGAAACCAGCCGAGGCAGATGGAGAACTCAGGCCCTAATCCTGGAAAGCCTTGGGGCCTGGCTATTAAAATTGGATGAAGAGCTTTGAGGATTTCAAGCTCTGTCTCCTATGAGCCTCCCCCAGGGCTGTTCATTCTCTCGTCAGAACACTTCCTGCCACCTCCACTCCTACCCTCAAGACCCCCACCCTCTGCACACCTGATTTTTCCTTGCCCTCAGGTCTGCACAGAAAGGTTTCTTTTTTTCAGGAATCCTCCACTTTTCCGGGCCAAATTCAGTTTCCCCTGGCACGCGTCAGAGCATTCTGCATCTCCCCTTTGTAGACAGGAAGACTCAGACCCAGGGTCATTTACCTACTTGTCCCCCCGCCAAACTGTAAACTCTCACATCCCAGGGCCCAGAACAGTGCCAGCGCTTAGTAATTGTTGAATGAATTTGTTAGAAGGATAAATGGATGGGGGTACCCAGTGGTTCCGTCGGTTAAACATCTGACTCTTGATTTGGGCTCAGGTTATGATCTTGAGGTTCATGAGTTCAAGCTCCGCATTGGGCTCTGTGATGGTGGTGCTGAGCCTGCTTGGGATTCAGTCTCTCTGTGCCCCTCCCCTTCTCCCCCCGCCTCTCTCTCTCTAAATAAACTTACAAAAAATAAAAAGAATAAATGGATGAATGCCTTTAAAAAAATCCTGTGGAATGAATACCTTAGCTGGGGAGGGCCAGGGCCCAGGGCCCCTCTGGGATATCGGAAAGACAGGGACCTTCGAAAGTTCAGAGGGTCTGCCCCTGCCCAGGGACAGAGGCCTGAGAACTTGTCTCTGTCTTTATCTACATCTTGTCTCCCTTCTGAGCTGGGGCCAGGAGGGGGAGGGGAGCGGGCCAGGAGTGCCGCTTCTCAGAGGAGGGAAATTGAACAGTGAAAGCCCCAGCCTCTGCCCAGGCCCTGCCTTCCTTACCATCACCCCACAGCTTCGGGAGGGGAGGAGCGGGAGGCAGGAGGGACTCTTTCTCGCATACCTGTGGGTCTGGTTTGTGTGTGAAGGACTAATCTCCGCCTTGTGGGGGTGAGTTATCTCCTTGTGAAATCAAGTTGGAGAAACTAGAAGGTTTTACCAGTGAGACACATATTGCCTCCTTTATGGAAAGCCGGGAGAAGGAATGGACAGACCCCCCCTCCCTGCCTCCGCCCCTAGCCCAGCCCCAGCTGGCTCCTTGGGTTGCAGGACTTGCGTGTGGTTGTGTGTGTGTGTGTGTGTGTGTGTGTGTGTGGTGCACTGCAGATGTAGTGGGCAAAAGTGTGGGCGCTTCGGGGAGGGCGCTGAGGCAGGTATGTGCATGTAGCCAGGTGCCTGACCCTCCCTCCTGGCTGCACCCCTGCAGGGCTCCGGCCACCACCGGTGGAGCCTCCTACCCTGGGAGGGGGACCTTGTCAGGACCACCATCAGGAGGACCAAAGGAGCCACAGAGGGGCAGGCTAAGGCTGGGGTGGGGGGAGGTGTCTCAGGAGGCTAAGGCTGAGGGGGGGTGTCTCCAGGGAGCCTGAACAAAGAGGGGGATTGGGCTCAACCCCTGAGGGCAGGAGGGACCTGGAGCCCAGCTGGGAGGGTCCGGCTGGGCTGTGTCAGCCTGCCTGCTGCCCGCCCACCCTTTCATCTCTGCAGCTCCTTCCTCCCTGCCCTTCCTTGAATGTGTGTTGTGGGTCCGTCTGGGTGGCTTTGGGGAGGGGGGAGGAAGAAGGGGGAGGTCTCCGTGGGCAGCTTGGATTGGACAAACTTTCTTTGAAAATGGTCCTTTGCACAAAGGCTGGTGGTCAGACCAACAGGTGCCCCCGCAGGAGCCCAAGGACCCTGAGGGGTGCATTCTTCCCAAGGGGATAACTATCTCCAGCAGGACCGGGCAAGACGGGGCAGGAAGAGACGGGAAGGGAGGCAAGAAGCCCTTCCCCTTTTCCCGTGCCAGCCGGCCCTGGCCCTCTCTCCCAGACCGGCTTTTCCCAGAGAGCTAAAAGCAAGAAAGTAACCTTTAGGATTAAAGAGAAACGTTTCTTTGTTTGGGTTTCTTTCGTTCTCTCTTTTTTCCTCCTAAGCCTCTTTTCACATCTGTGGTGGCTTTTCCCCACTTGTCCGGGGGGCGGGGACAAAGGAGAAAGGCCAGAGAATGTCGTCCCAGGCGGTGGGGAACCAGACCTCCTCTCAGGCCACGGATGACTACGCCTATGGCAACTGGTACATCGACGAGCCCCAGGGTGGCCAGGAGCTCCAGCCAGAGGGGTAAGTTGGCTGTGTCTGCCAGCAGAGTGGGGTGTGGCCAAAGTTACCTATGTGCAGGGGGGGGGGGGGGGGGGGGGGGGGGGAAGCCCCCCGGGCCAGGACTGCTAAGATGAACCATGCAGCTCATTTGCTGTGTGACCCTTGGCAAATCGCAGCCTCTCTGGGCTTCAGACGCGTGTTACATGAGAATAACAGCCCTTGCCTTGATGTTGGTACTGGAGAGGGGCCTGTGCTGGGCTGTTCCTTAAAAAGTACCTGTGCGGTTTGTTAAAAATACAACCTCCTGGGACCCATCCCTGCAAATTCAGATCTTGCCAGTCTGGGGCAACTCTCTGGGTGAGTCAGGCCGATAGCCCGCCTGGAGAGTGAGTGCTGGGAAGAGAAGTCGGGTCTGCCTTCAAGGGGTTACTGGTTCTCATGGTGACCATCTAGGGTGTGGTGTTAGCAAGTGTCAGGTTTTCTGGGCAGGCCAGGGCAGGGGGAGATGTGAGGAAAGATATTTCCTCAAACATGCCACCCTGTTGCCTTTGGCTGGCTCTGGATCTCCATGAAGGGGAGGGGTCCTTTTGTTTCTGCAGGAGTGCTCATGCGAGCCCAGGGCCAGGGGGCAACGACAGCCCGGTCAAGTGCGGCCAGAGGACTTGCCAGCCCCTATCTTTGTTTAGTCTGGGCACCCTGGCAGAGGGGCCAGGCCTCCCTGCGCCCCCCATGTGACCAAGGACGCCTGGCCTGCGTGGGCCCCTGAGCCTAGTTCTCCCCTTGCTGTTTCTTGCCCTGGCCCCGCCCCTCACCCCCGATTTTGCCGTACTGGAAAGGTGAGGCTGGGGAGGTGGTGCGGAGCCAGATGTGTACACATCTGCTCTCCATCAACAGTGGAAACTGGAGAAGGAGAAATTCTTGCGTGTCTCCCCAGGGGCTGGGGCTGCGGTGGGGCCAGGCTTGGGTCACCCAGCAGGGACGGAGGCCCCACCCAGGCCCGGGGGGAGATGCGATTGTTTGGAGCACTCAGGGGGCTGGCCACCTGGTCAACAGTTCCGCGGTCAGCGAGAGGTTTCTCATCCCTTTCCCTGGCGGATCTGGACAGCCTGTGGGCTCCCCTTGCCTCTGCTGCACACTTCTGGGGTGGGAGAAGTAGCAGAATGGGGAGGGGCCCAGGAACCCAGGAGGGCCCAGATCCTGACAGGTTGACCTCAATCTGCAGCTGAGTCCCTGAAAGCCTCAAGGCCCTGGGTCCTGGCTGGGGCCAGGCTCTTCAGAAACAGCCTCACAAGGAAGTGGGGTACATACAGGGCCTGCGTGATGGGGAGCTCCACCTCTCCTATGCGTGGCATCTGGGATTTGCAGCTCCCTCCTCCCACTGCGGGAAGAATGAGGAGGTCTGTTTGATTCGACTTACTTAGCCCGTCCAAGTCTAGTTGCTGGTCCCCCAAATCCCACCCCCAAAAGTGGAAGCCCAGGGGAATCCCAAGGAGATGAACTTGGGCTCCCTTCTCCCTGAGTAAGTCAGATACCCCAGGAAGATGATGCACAAAGCTCTGAGGAGCTCCTGATGCTGGTCCCCCTCGGCACAGCAGTGTGCCCTGGGGCTGGGGCTGCTGGGCACTGGTGACAGTGGGTGGATGGACTCAGTTTCCTGGTCACATTTCTCCAGATGCCCTCCAGGTAGAAAGGCTTGGCTAAAAAGGTTGGGGGGTGGGCGGTGAGTCTGATGGGCGGGCTGTGTCATCTGGGCTCTTCTGTGGGCATGGGACTGAGCCGTGTAAGCCGAGCCAGCCCTTTCCCACCCCCGGAGCCCCCCTGACTGGGTTATGTGCCCAGCCTGACATCTGCCCATGTGTTATCCCCTCCTCACCAATGCTGAGCTTCTCGGCCAGAGCCTGGGGACACAAATGCCTGTGGCAGCCATCCAGGATGACACACACCTCCCCCTCCACTTCAAAGGGATGCCTGGGGAATTGGAGGCTTCCCTCCTGGCCTGCCTCCCAGCCTGAGGCCAACACCAGGGTGATCAGCAGGCCCTTCTGCTGGGGTGTGGGGAGGGTATCAGGCCCCCACCACAGGCAGTCAGCCCTTCCCTCCCACCCAGAGAGATGTGCTGCGCCTTTCCCTCTGAGTCTCCCTGCGTGTCTGAGACCAAGCCCGGGCTTCCTTGGCTACATGTGATTCTGGTCCTCACCGCTCATCTTGGGTCCTCACCGCTCATCTTGGAATAAGGCCTAGAACTCAGCGGTCACTCTGGAAATTCCCCTTCCTTCTAGTATTCCGTCTCCAGGCATATACATTCTTCCTCCTACATACCTCTTAGACAGAGGCTGCCATCTCCCTTCCCCAGCCGCCGCTTACGTGCAACTAACTTGAAAATGCTGATTCTCAACTGTTTTTGATGCACGGAAATGACAATTTCATATGGTTCGACTTAAAACTTCCTCCCGTGCTCCTTACCTCTCCCCGTCTGGTCAGATGTGGGCGCTGGAGCCGGAGGACCTCAGTTCAAATCCTTGCTCTGCTGCTTTCCCAGCTGTGTGATTTGGATAAGATACTTAGCCTCTCTGAGCTGTGGTCTCCTTGTCTGCACAAGAGGTTCATAATAGCACCCACCACTTAGGTAATCCCTGAGTTAACCCAGGCAACAAACAACATCTGGCACCTAGTCAAGTTCTTAGTAAGTACTAGTTACTGTTGTTGGTATTCAAATTGAGCCACAGAAATCTCCCCAAATCCAGAACAACCACCCTGTTCAAACACCCTCGATGGCTTCCTAGTGCTTCCCTTGCCTGCTGTGACCTGCTTCTGGCCTGCCTTCAACCCTGTAGACTATGAACTGAAAGTGCCTGACCCCAGCCACACTATCTGCTGCCTGTCACTTGGCTTCCTCATGTCCCTCCCTCTACACAAAGCTCCTTTTCCCCATTCTTTGCCTTAGCAAATTCTAACCATCTTTTATACTCAAATCAAACGCCAGAGGCCATAACAGAGGACCAAACATTTGATTGCTTGACCCAGTGCTGAGAAGGAGAGGTCTATGAGGACTGGGGTAGTCAGGGAGGCTACCTGGAGGCGGGAGGAATGAAGTGAGCCTTGAAGCACAGGAAGAATGTGGGTGAGAAAGAAGAGAAAGAAGAGGGGTCCAGGTCGAGCTGGTCCACTCTGTTTCTCCCATGTTTTCCCCTGGGAGCCCCCTGTCTCCTTCAGCCTTGTGACCTCAGAGCTTGGCACGGGGCTGGCACACCATGGGGGGGCGTGAAAACCCTGAGTGACCTTGAGAAAGTGGAACTAGGCACGCTTGTGTTGGAGAGAACAGAGGGTTGAGGGAGGTGGGAGGTGGAGCCCTAGGGTAGACAGCCTGGGACCCCGAACCTGGTTGCACACCCAGGGAGTCCCCACACGTGCCTGACCCAGCCTTCCCTTGCCCTGCAGGGAAGTGCCCTCCTGCCGCCCCAGTGTGCTGTCTGGCCTCCTCCACGTCTGCCTGGCCGTGCTGTCGGTGAGTCCAACCTGAATCCGGACTGACTTGCCACGGACTGCCAGGCCAGGGCAGGGGAACTTGTGTTCTCTGCTGGGGCTGGTGAAGGGGGGTCCCGGGAGCTCTCCAGGGTGGGGGCCCCAACCAGGATGCAGCCAAGTCCAATCTCTCAGACTTTGGTCACCTCTCTCTGGCAAGTCACCAATATGCCACAAGCTTGCCCCCTGGGGCGGGGCGGGGAGGGGGCATTCTGAGCACCAAGGCCAAGCCTTCAGGCTCAGCCCCTCGAGGAAGGCCTGGGCACCCATGCCTTGCTCTATGCTCTCCTTTCAGATCCTTGTGCTGCTGCTGCTGGCTGCGCTCGTGAGGCGCCGCCAGCTCGGGTCCCGCTGCGGGCACAGCAGGCCTGGACTGCCCAGGTTGGTGCCAAGGCCTGGGCACCCCCACTCAGGTGGCCCAGCTGGCAGGGCCACTCTGGGAGCGTGGCGGTTTGTTAGGTACCTAGCAGTCTGCTCTGGCCTCAGTGAGAGGCCGCCCTTTCAGCCTGGGAGCTCTTCTTACCCCTACCTGCTTCTCAGTTTAGTCAGGAGCCCCAGAGGGAAGGGGCGGGACCTACTCCTGCGTCAGACCCAAGGAGACCATCCCCCTCCCCCATAGGGCCTGGTTCCAGATACATTTCCTCCAACGGTCCATGATCTGGACAAGCGATGCCCATCCCATGCCACCTTGACCCTCACTTCCCTTGAGGGTATCACCCGGACCCTGATGCTTAATGGCAGATCGTGAAGGACTGGAGATCAGTGGCTAGAACTTTCTTCCCCATCTCCTTTAGTCGTGCGACCCCAGAGGCTGGGAGGAAGATGGTCCTGAGGAGATGGGACTGGGCAGGCTTATATGGGAGAGACCAAAGTGTTGGGGTGATTGGAACCCCAGGGTAGACAGCCTTGTTCCCTGGCCCAGACCACACACAGAGGTGGCTCCTGCCATGATGGGTTTGGGGAGGACTAGCCTGGGGTTTCTGTCACCAGTGGGCCCGGGAAAGAGCTTGCGGGCTTGGAGGGAAGAAGGAAGCGGGACAGACCTCTCAGGGCATGAGGTGAAGCTGGATGACAGAAGCAGAAGGCCCGAGTGGCCTGCCCTGAACCCAGAGGGGCTATGCCTGGGACAGCTGTGCCTGCTGTCTGCCCTCTGCCCCGGGGCCACACCCAGGCCAAGGCGGTGGCTCTGACACAAGGATGTTGTGACTCTCCGAGCTCTCTGAAGGTTTGCCAGCCCAGATAGGCTGATTTGTGTGGAGGCGGCTGTTTCCTGGAGCCTCCGGGGGAGAGGGGGCAGAGGGAGCAGTGCTGAGGGGGGAGAGCAGTGCTCTGGCTTGTTCCCACTGTGCGTGTGGGTATCAACGGGGATGTCCTTGAGTCACTTTGCCACAAGGCCTAGAACTTGGTACATAGCTGGCACCCCACAAATATGTGTGGAATAAGTGGATAATGTGGCCTCAGTTTCCATCTGGAAAGTTTCCATCTCTACCTCCCCGGTTTATGGAACGCGGCGTGGGGGAATGGAGGGCGGGTACAGGGCCTGAGCGATGCCCTCCTGTACTGTCCCTGTCTCTGCACCAGCCCCGTGGATTTCTTGGCTGGGGACAGGACCTGGCTGGTGCCTGCCGCGGTCTTCACTGTCCTCTTCAGCTCCTTGTGTTTGCTGCTCCCTGCTGAGGACCCGTTGCCCTTCCTGACCTTGGCCTTGCCCACCAGCCGAGGTATCCAGTGCATCTGAGGCCCTGGGGCTGGATGGGGGAGGGCGGTGCACTGGGTGGGAATTCAGAGCATGGGGCGGGGCCCTTCTGTAGCAAGTCAGGTAGCTCCCATCCCCGTCTCCCGAGTCTCCCAAGCAGATGGTGTCCCGCTACCCTCCCAGCTGCGCCCACAGTGCATGAAACCTGCCCTTCATTGGTCCCTGCCGTTGGGTCACTACTGCCCTGTCCACCTCCTCTGTTCTTGTGCAGACCCCACCCCCAGAACAGCGCTGCCTGAATCCTCCAGACAGCCCAGCCCTCTGAGAATGGAGGAGACTGGGGAGAGAGCAGGAGGGGGTTCCGGGGAATTGAGAGCGGGGCTCTAGGAAGCGAGGGTACTAAGGGCAGCTGCCACCAAGAGGGGCCACCGTACTCAACATGATCTCCTCAGATCAACCAATCCTCGAAATGACTGCAAAGTCAGTGGGTAGGAGCCCCATCTCATGCTGGAGGATGCTGAGGGTCAGGGAAGGGAACGATAATAAGGCAGCATCTTAGTTTATTGACAACCAACTAGGCACTGTGCTAAGCCTGTACACATGACTTTTCTTTTTTTTTTTTTTAATGTTTTTTATTTATTTCTGAGAGAGAGAGACAGCATGAGCAGGGGAGGGTCAAAGAGAGAGGGAGACACAGAATCTGAAACAGGCTCCAGGCTCTGAACTAGCTGTCAGCACAGAGCCTGACGCGGGGCTTGAACCCACGAACCGTGAGATCATGACCTGAGCTGAAGTCGGACGCTTAACCGACTGAGCCACCCAGGCGCCCCTACACATGCCTTTTCATTTTGTCGTTGCTAATATAACTACCATCATTTCCATTTTATAGATAGAGAAAGTAAGGCTCTAAGAGGTAACTTGCCCAGGATCACAGCGCTGGTCCTAGTCAGAGCCTGAATTTGAATGCGGGGCTCTTACTCGCTAAACCAGCGGAGGGACTCAGAAGGTGGAGTCAGGAGAGGAGAGGGGCCTGCAGGGGCCGGACCCAGGCCCCACATCTGCCTTTCCAACATGTGTCTCCCTCTGCCCCTCTTGCCTTCCAGGGCCATGGAAGATACTCGCCCTGCTTTACTACCCTGCCCTCTACTACCCTCTGGCCGCCTGTGCCACGGTCAGGCATGGAGCTTCATACCTGCTCGGCAGCGCGCTGTCCTGGGCTCACTTCGGGGTCCAGGTGTGGCAGAGGGTAGAGTGCCCCCAGGCACCCAAGGTAACCTCAGACTCACAACAGCCTGAGGGAGAGGGGCATGGAGGGGCTGCGTGAGCCATAAGCTCCTTTCCTCTTATTTGTATGCTGGGCTTCTCTGGGACCTTCTACTGTGCACAAAACTCCACTCTTGGAAACACAGGCCCTTCCACACTTTGACCGTCTTGGGGAAGAACAGGGGACAGGCTGGGCCTATCCTCAGGGCAGTCTAGGAGGGGGCAGAGAGAGGAAAGAGAGAGCCTGAAATCCCTCCATTATATTGATCTTCCAGCCTTTTTGGTCAGGCTGGAGTGGGAGCGGGGAGTGATGGAGGAAGACGAGCCCGAGTAGGTGCATGGTCTTTGAGGGTACAAAGAGAATTCTAGCTCCTCAGAACCCAGTTCACTGGCTGCTGGCTGGGGTTTCGAAGCTGCCCCATCTAGAGTCCAAAGGGTGGAGGCGAAAGCTTCAGAGCCAGACAACCTGAGCTTGAACCCAGCTTCTGCCCTTCCTCCCTCCTTCCTTTCCTTCCGCAAACATATTTGAAATACTCTGTGTCAGGGATATTTCCAAGCACCGGAATACAGCTATGAATGGGACAGATGAAGTCCCGGCACCCCAAGAGTCGCCGTCCCAGAAGGGAAGACACGATAAATAAATAAATACACAAAATGATGCCAGGGTATGCTAAGTGTTTTGAGGAAACCATGTCACCATTCTGAGACTCAGTTTCCCACCTGTGAACGGAGTAGATAACACCAGTCTTTCAGGGCAGACATGACGATTAGTTGGTTTCTTTGAGAGCTGGGACTTGACTGGTCTTTGTCACCGCTCAGAACCTGGCACATACTGAGCTCCCAGTAAAAAGGTATTGAACTAACTAATAAATGAGTGAACACAGAAGGAGCCCAACCCTGTGCCTCAGAGCCCAAGGCCTCAGAGCCAGAAGGTAGGGCATGTGCTTCCCGATGCCCAGGTCGCAGCTGTACACAGACCAAACTAGGCCTTTGTCTAATTTTCGGGGACCCATGCCAAACCCCAGGAAGAAAGGAACATAGAAAGTGGGTGTCCCCAGTTTCAGACCTACTGTGGGGAGGAGGGGATTACATAGCTTCTTCTCGCAGCTCCTCCAAGTGCTGTGGGAGTTCAGGAGCCCAGGGGAGTGGGGAGCATCTCCACAGGGCCTCACAAGGTGACGCGAGGGTGTCTGTGCTGAGTGGCCCAGGTAGGGGGTGGGCATGATAGACTCAGAGGCCTCAGGCCACCTGTGAGGCAGGTAGGAGTGAAATGGGAAGGGAAATGGCTCCTGGCCTTCTGCTGGGGGAGGAAAGCAGAAGGTAAGTGTGTCTGGGAGTCTGTCTGTCTGTCTGTCTAGATCTACAAGTACTACTCCCTGCTGGCTTCCCTGCCTCTGCTTCTGGGCCTCGGATTCCTGAGCGTTTGGTACCCGGTGCAGCTGGTGAGAAGCTTCAGCCGTAGGACAGGAGCGGGCGCTGAGGTAAAGGGGCAGGGCTGGGTGGGCTCCTGGTCAGCGCCCAAGACACCCCCAGCTCCTTCCTGTGTAGTCACGCTTCGCATAGGGCATGGCACATAGCAGGTGCTCGGGAAATATTTGCTGAGTCACCAAGGGGCTGGTTAGTCCTCCCTCTTCCAGAGCAAAGGTTAGGCCAGGCCCTCAGCTGGCACCCAGGATACCTGGGGGCACCCAGCTGTATGCCCGGTGGGGATTCAAGAAAGGGAAGTGGACTAGAAGACAGAGAAGTCAGAACTCTGTTTCCGAGGTGCGGAGGCTCCAGCTGGAGGAATGAGACAGGCCAGGAGTCTCGAGCCTCCTAGGAGCCCTGCAGATGCCGACACGACTCAGGAAACACCCAGGGCAGAATCGCGTTATGAATCCATTCTAGGTTGGATGTGGTTGGAGAAAGGCAGATAGAGGGGTAGGCTGGGAGAACTGAGGCAGGCTGGCCGGGGGCGGGGCGGGGGGGGGGCGTGCTTCCTGGAGGAGGTAGACTTCCGGTAGGGGCCCTGAAGGACAGGAAGGATCTGGAGGAGGGAGAGAATAAGGAGGAGGCATGCAGGGGTAGGCAAGAGGAGTGAAGGGGCAGAGATGGGTTGTGCCTGTTTCGTTCACATGTAATTTGTGGCACTGGGCAGCTCTCAGCACACGAAAGCTACTCGGCAAATATTCCTGATGGTTTAGATAGATGGTGGGTACATCATAGCAAGAGAGAATTCTTAGAAAACAAGGCAATCTTATTAGGAAGCTTTCTAAGCACCTACCAAATGTCAGACCCTGGGTGAGGTACTGTAGACTTAGAGCAACTGACTTGCATCTGACCCCCAGGAGCTCCCAGTGCACTGGGGTGAGGGGTGGGGGTGCAGGCAGCACCAAAGATTCACAGTGCGATGCGGGAAGTGCAGCCGGGCCCCATCCCAGAGCCACGGGTGAGCGTGGAGATGGGGTCAAGTACTCTTCCTGGTGGGGGAGGAGGAGGAAGAAAAGCATCCCACAGAGGCCCTCCCAGGGAGGGGGACAGGCTCCGGAGAGGCTGAGGACTCCGATGCCAAAGGGTTTGGTTATTCTTGAGTTGGGGAAGGTGAAGGCAAGGCTTGAAGTGACATGTAGGATAGACAGCGGGTGGGTGGTGGTGCCCGTTGTTGATAGATGGAACACGGATGCACACGTGTGTGTGGAGGGGTGCGGTCATGGGGGTGTGGTGGGCAGCTGGCCCATGGGCCTGGAGCTCGGGAGAGGGGCTGGGACTGAAGCTAGGCAGGGAGCCAGGTCCCCGAGGATAGAAGGGGAGGGAGGCGGGAGAGGCTGGGTGGGCTAGGGTCGCTAGCGGCCACCCGGGATCCTCCATGGTCCCACCTGACTCTGGGTTTGGCTCTTACACGGTAGCCATTACTGCTTACATGTATCATTACTGCTGCCCTCCTGACATTCACACTCCTGTGGAGAAGCCCGTTGTCCCCTCATTTTTACAGAAGGCTCAGAGGAAGGGAGGGCTCGCCCAGGGGACCAGGTGCACTGGGCACATGTCTACCCTGCCTAGTCCCTTTCCTTCCTGCTCCGGTGATCATCTCTGCCTCACCTCTCCCTCTGTGCATGCCTTTCCTCTTGACAAGTCCTGGAAGAAATAATTCTCTTTGACCCTGGGGCAAGAGGTTTAAGCCTCAAAGGACCCAGTCAAGCTTCAAGCTGACCCACACCTCCCCTGGGCTCAGGGTTGCCATGGCAATAGGTGACAGGCTTATAGCCTCATGGTCAGGGGCAGGGGCTCACCCCATCTTACTGTGGGCCTCTGCCACTTGGCAGGCAGCTTAAGGCCTGGGATGGGGCTTAGACAGATCCCATGACCCTTGTGATCTCCCTGGAGTAGGAGGAGAGGCCTGGGGGTGTGACCTGGCATGGCCCCATCCTGTGTCCTGGTTAGGGATGTGCCCATAGGACATAAGTTCGCTTTTGCCCCCGTCTCAGCCAGCAGAGGCCTATGGGCCTGGAGGGAAGCAGTGACCAGATGTGACTAAAGCAGGAGAGGATTGGAGACTGATAGTCTCATATTCACGGAGGAGAAAGGGCAACATCACGGGGCATGGATCTGGCCCTACTCCAGGCGAGAAGTTTTTACGGAGCTCCCTGTACCCCAGTGGTTCCCTGAGCCAGGCTCCCAGGGACGGCTCCAGGCAGGTCTCATCTGCTCGTCCATTTGTCTGTCTCCACAGGGGCTGCAAAGCAGTTACTCTGAGGAATATCTGAGGACCCTCCTTTGCCGGAAGAAGCTGGAAAGTGGGTGAGGTCTTAGGCACACCCTGTGGGCCAGTGGGCAGAGCTGGTTGGCAGGCTAGTTTGGGGAGCTGGTCCTGGGCAGCACGGGGGGCGAGCAGAGTGAGGAATAAACCAAACTTGGGGGCTCAGGCTCTGGGCAGGGACTTCCCCTGAGGGCACCCGCCTGCCCTTGTCTTTCTGCAGCTCCCACACCTCCAAGCGTGGCTTCCTGTCCCGGTTCTGGATCTGCTGCAGAAACTATGTCTACACTCCACAGCGAGGTATGGAGTGGGGAGGTGACCTCAGCCATCCCTTGCACAAAACAAAAGCCCTGCAGTGGGAGTCCGGCTCCCGTCCCCCAGAACCCCGTGGCGGGAGGAACAGCCGCAGCTGGGGACAAGGGGAAAGCCCCTGGCCCAGCTTTGGTGGCCTAGGGTCCTGCACGCCCTGGCCCTTTTCCTGGGCCCTTTGGGAGGGATGGGGGCTACCAGGCCTGGGTGGTGCTAGGCTCACCGCCTCACTCCCTTTGGTGACTGCAGGATTCCAACTCCCTGTGAATCTGGTGCTTTCAGCCACCTTGACGGGGACAGCCATCTACCAGGTACGTCCTGCCCCGGCAGTGCCATTTGCCTCTGGACCCCTACCCCCAACCCCCAAGCCTGGGACAGCGCAAGCCCAGCTCAGCTCCCCCAAAGCCCCACCTACAGTCCTGGTCAGCTGTTTCTGGACATCTTGGGAATACTGGCTGACCCAGGCGAAAGGGGGTGTCAGCTCTTACCGGGCTCATATAGAGTCAGAGCACATGTTCCGGAGTCACACAAACATGGATTTAAACCCTTGCTCCATCTTTTGCCTCCTGTGTGACCTTGGGCAAATTATTCGACATCTCTGACCCCATTAGCTCTGCTGTAAACTAGAGGAAATAGAATTACTTTCCTCTTTGAGCATTTGGGAAGGTTTAGGCAGGTTTGGCAGTTAGGAAGTAATATGTGTTTAAGAAATACTCCCCTCCTTGCCCTCCTGGGAGGGCTGCCTGGGGTGAGCACAGCCAGGTCCTGGCACCTTCATTCTGGGGCTCTTCCAGGTGGCCCTGCTGCTGCTGGTGGGCGTGGTACCCACCATCCAGAAGGTGAGGGCGGGGATCACCACGGATGCCTCCTATCTACTGGCTGGCTTTGGGATCGTGCTCTCCGAGGACAGGCAGGAGGTGGTGGTGCTGGTGAAGCATCAGCTGTGGGCTCTGGAAGGTGAGGCCTCACTGGAATCCCTGCGGGCCTGTTGTGGGGATCTGAGCCAGACACCCAAGCTCAGCGCCAGCCTGCCAGGGGCGTGCGGGGTGCTTGTGGGGATGTCTCTTCCTCTATCTGGGCCTCAACGTCCTCCCCTCCAAACCGGGCTGGCTGCGGCATCCAGCTCCAAGTTGCCGAGCCCCGAAGAAGTCATCTCAAGCCCCGTGTCAGCTTGTATGGGGTCTCCCACCCCGGCTCCAGAGGGCAGCTCTCCGAGTGTGGAAATGGGCAAGGCCTTCGGTGCGTGGGCCGAGGGATCAGCCCCTTGAGCTTTGCCAAGGGTAGGGGAGGGGGAAGTGAGGCAGGGATGTGAGACACTGGGCTGGATTCCGAGCTAATCGCGGGTGGGGTTGGGCAGGATAATGCCCCAATCCCCGTCCTCCTGGGCCATCTCCTTTCTCCATCCCGCCCTTGACAACGAGCCTGTGGGCCGGGGAACCATATCAGCCTCCCCTTCTGGGATCTGATGCCTCCTTCAGCCCTTAGTCCTGTCATCCACTGCACCACCTCCCAGGCCCTCCCAAGAGCCCTGTGGAGGAGACTGAGAAGTGTCCCCTCTTGACACGTGGGGAAGGATTTGCTTGGGGCTGTACAGCCAGCCAGAGTGGAGCTAAGAGAGGAATACCGTCTCCACCACCTTGACCCAAGGCGTGGTGGTCAGGAGTCCTGGGCCTGCACCCTCTGCTGACTTGGGGTCCCAGGCTGTGAGCACCCTGGCTTCTTAGGAGGAACGTGGGATGGTCGGAGCTTGGGCGGCCCACCTGGCAGGTGGAGGTGTGACTGCTCAGCAGCTGTTCCTGACCGTTAACATCATCGTCTCCCCTTGGACCAGGCCTGCCAAGAACAGAAAGGGGCAGGGAGTGGAGGTGGGCAGGGATGTGTGCAGTGACCGCTCCCTTCTCTGGCCACCACTCCCATCACCTTCCTGAGCGCCTCTGCTCCCATTCGAGAGGCTACCCTGGACATGTGGCCCTACAAGTTGGACAGATGACAAGTTCTGGGTGGGCTGCAAATGACATCTCCAGGGAGATTTTCTAAGTTGGCTGCACCCTGGGCCACAGGCAGGAGCAGACATGGCCCTCATCAGCCCACATCCAAGGTCACAGCAGCCCTGTTAGATCAGCCCCATCAATCTGTACCCCATAGAACGGGAAATGGAGGCTCAGAGGCAGGGGGTGACATGTTCAAGATGGTGGATTTTGCTTCTCCTCACCACGCTGGGCGTTTATAATCACATGCTGTAACTTCCAAGCCTAAATGCTTCTACTTTGGATCTTCTTGGATTCAGGGGCCAAACAGAGCAGGGTTTACTCTCCTAGTCCACAGATGAGGAAAACTGAGGTCCAAGAGGATCAAAGCTATGTCCAAAGCCACTCAGCAAGCCAGTGATGGAACTGAGATTAGATCTGGGTTCAGGGGCGCTTTGGTCTGTGCTTAGCTTAAGGAGCTAATGTCTCCTGAACTCCGAGAGCCTGTTTTCAGGCTGCCCACTGGGCACCTGGACCATAATCCTGGCATCGCTCACAGAGGGCTCAGCCCCTGGGTCCCGCGGACTAAATAAGAACTCCTGCTCCATCACTTATAAGCTGTGTGACCCCAGGCAAGCCACTTCACTTCTCTGGACTTGAATTTCCCTACTGCAAACCAGCTGTTGAAGCTACAAGGGCAGCCTTGCCACCGAGGGGGGAAGACAGATCTATCTGGGGTAAGGAGCAGAGAACAGGAGTGTTTTGTGGGCATCAGGATTTGGAGACCCAGGTTTGGAACCAACCGAGGGAGAGAGGAGCGGGAGGTAGATGGACGAAGATCAAAGGCCAGGCCAGAGGCCAGGGGGCTTGCTAACCCTTCACCTCGCCTTAACCCATTCACTCACCTGTGCAGGCTCAGCAGGCATGCTCCTCACCTGCAGAAAATGGTCCAGAACGCCCTGTGGTTGGTGCCGAGCTGGGTTCTGAAGGGGAAGTGGAGCAGGTCAGAGCTGCATGTGCCTAGTGCTTTCTTCCATAGCAGTCGTTCTCAGGCCTGGCTGTGCCTGAGAATCACCTGGTACTTTTTTTATTTTATTTTTAAAATTTTTTAGTGTTTATTTATTTTTGAGAGAGAGAGAGAGAAACAGAGTGTGAACGGGGAAGGGGCAGAGAGAAAGAGAGACACAGAATCTGAAGCAGGCTCCAGGCTCTGAGCTGTCAGCACAGAGCCCGACGCAGGGCTCAAACTCACGAATGGAGAGATCATGACCTGAGCCGGACCGAGCCACCCACCTGGTACCTTTCGTAAAATCCCAAGGCTCAAGCGGCTTGCCAGACTTCAGGAACTCCAGCCTCTATGATTGAACAAGTCTCCTGGTGATTCCGATGCCAGCCTAACTTTGAGAACCACGGTAGCAGGCACTCAATACCCATCGGTGGCCTAGTTGATTTCAGTCAATTGCGGATTGAAATGGATCATGAAGGCCCTATCTTTGCGAAGCCCCCAGGGCAGTGGCTTTCAACCCAGACTGCATTCAGAAGCCAAGGACTAGGTCCCACACCAACAAATTCTGATTTAATTGGCCTAGGGTGCAGCCTGGGCCTCGAGGAGTTTTAACAGCCCAAGGTGGTTGTACTCTGCTGTCAGTGCAGAGACCCCACCCCTCCAGCACCTGAGACTACAGGAAACTAGTGCCAGCCTCTCCCAAACCTCTGGATGGAACCTAGGCACCAGGAACACTTTCCTGGAATGACTGATGCAATCGGGGGCAGGCACGCCGGGCTGATTCTGGGTCTGCTTGGAAACAATTGCAGGCCTTTCCACCCATCACTTCCCAGCAGTGCAAGTGGCGGGTCAGGCCCTCTCCCTGAGCTTCAGCTTCCTGGTCAGCCCAGGACCTCTCTGGTGGGGTTGTCGTGAGGGTGCAGACAGAGACGGAGTGTGGATGGAGGGCAGGAGGGTTGCAGCCTCAATTCCTGGCTAGGCTTGAATACCTAAGCTGCTCACAACACATTATGCCTTCTCCAGGCTGATGAAGATACAGCAAATGGTGTATCTATGGATGTGGCCAGGGTAGGCGGGGAGCTGGGGAGGAGGGCTCCCTCCCGGGAGGAGATGGGTAGCGACAGTTACCTTCCTCGTTCTGATGGCCGCAGACCCCACTGAAGTGGACTCACATCCTCTGTGGGCCCACGTGGGGTTTTCTGGATCGTGCTGGAAGATGGGCAGCCCAGCAGTGGGCCTTGCGTGAGCAAGCCAAGGCTGGAGAGACCAAGCTACCCCTGAAGGCCACATGGCCAGGAAGCGGAGGAGATGGGGACAGTTGCCAGGTTGGATGGACTGTCTTTCTCAGCAATGGAAGCAGTATGACAAATGTGAAGACCAGATCTGTAGCCTCAGAGCTGGCCTCTCCCCCGTCCTGGCCACCATGTCACTGCGCAGGGGACGGAGGAGAATGTTGACTTGCACTGCATCTGAGAACGGGGTGTGTGGTGCCAAGGGGTCTCCACTCAAGGCAGAGTGTGGGTGTGGGGCAGGGGGTCACTCCTACCCAGGCACAGCCATGGCAGCAGCTTGGGGGGCCCCTGGGAGGCCCCCCCGGTCCTCACCTCCCACTTTGCTCTCTCTCCACCCCTTCAGTTTGCTACATCTCGGCCTTGGTCCTGTCGTGCTCACTCACCTTCCTCATGCTGATCCGCTCACTGGTGGCGCACAGGTCAGTGGCAGGCTCTGACTCCCCAGGGCAGATGTGGGGGAGAGGTGCAGGAGCCCTGAGCCAGGAGATGGGAAGAGGGGAAAGCCCCTGCAGGCCCAGGCTGTCACTGTGTCTGCCTGTGGTGCCCTGTGGGGGGGAAGAAGGCGGGGCCTAGCCGTACCCTCCCTCCTGGACTTCCTGTCTGGCCCACGCGCTATAGGGGTGTGGACTTTGTCCTCTGAGAAGGGACCACCTGGGTGGGCAGATTCAGTGGGGAAGGCAGCCTGGAAAGCCGGCACCCTGCCTGGGATTAGAAGAGGCAACAGGTGAGGGAGGCAGGAGGGACAGTGTCAGGAACAGCGGCTGCACTGAACCTGCCCCATGACAGTGTGGGTGTGGAGGTGGCCCAGCTGGCATTGGGGCACTGAAGAGACTGTGATGGGCCATTGAATGCCAGATTGCCTCCCCTGCCCTCACACAGTGAGTGGGAAAGAGGGTTCTCGTTAGGAGCAGTGTGGTTGGGAAGGGGGGCAACGTCAGAGTGTGCATTTGCCAGGTTTTTACCCGGGAATCTTTTCCCACAGGGTTGACCCTACTTAGGCTGGCATTCAAGGCCCTCAAGCCTCTGCCTGCCTGGAACCTTGCCTCCTGCCCTGGTGGCTGCTCTGCAAGTCCTCTTCCATTCCTACAATCGTTTCCTCACTCTTCTGACTTGGCTCAGCCTTCTGCCTCAACTTATCTCCCTTGATCTCTGCTTTGCACTACAATGTACTCTGATTCATCCTTTAAGACTCTGCTCAGATACCATCTCCTCCAGCAAGTCCTATCTGGCTCCCACAGCCCTTGGCTTTCCTGCCTGTGGCCATAGGTTGTAAGTAGACAGGGAATTCTGCCAGGGACTGGCCCAGAGGAGGAATTTGGGGAGCGCATGTGTTCCCTGAGATCCCTGCTTTCCTCCCCACCCTTCCCCCAACCAGGACCAACCTGCAAGCTCTGTACCGAGGGGCTGCCCTGGACCTGAGCCCCGTGCCCCGGAGGCCCCACCCCTCCCGCCAGACCATATTCTGTTGGATGAGCTTCAGTGCCTACCAGACTGCTTTTACCTGCCTTGGTGAGCACCCCCCCTTGCCCACCCTCCACCCCCTGCCTTCAGGTGTCCCCAGAAACTGGCCCCAGCTGGGGAGGAGAGAGCACTCAGCAGGTCTTGATGCTCCTGGGTACCAAGGGGCGAGAGCAACAAGAGGGACCCACCTTGCCTTCTCTGCCTTCCGGAGGTGCACTCAGGTTGGGCGAGAGGGGCAGGTGCAGAAGCCCTTGGGGAAAAGGTACCCCTCATATGAGGATGGTTCCTCACTGCCACCAGGTGTTTACACAGAGGGCGAACCCCAGGGCTAGAAAGTGGGAAGTTCATGGAGGCAAATTCCTTCTTATGTAAGCCCAGGTTATGCCACAATGGGCCACCTTGTGAAGATAATGAGATCCCTGTCACTGGGGGTATGCAAGCAGGTTCTGTGGTTACTGTTGGAGCTGCAAAGGGGGTCCTGCCCTGAGAGAGTTAATTTCTAGGACTCCCTCCTAGCTCCAAGTTTCTGATTTTCCCCATGGGCAGTACAGTGAATAAGACCCCCTGAAATTTGAGGGGACTGGGCCAGTATTACAAAAGATAGGGCTTGATTTCCTTCCCTGCTGGTTCCTTTGGTCCTCACCTTCCTGGGGGAGTAGGAGAAGAGTGATAAAGGAGAAGAGAAATTACTAGCACAAAATTGGTAGACTTTATACCTCCCGAGGTCTTTTATACACATTACCCCATGTAAATAACTAGTCAGTTGTCTCATTAGATGATGTTCTGGCACCAACTGTGTGCAGGGCTCTGGCTAGTAGGAATGCAAGCTTTAATTTAAAATACAATCTTGTCCCCAAGAACTTAGGGACAATTGGGGGGAAATAACGTTTGCAAAGCACTTTGTGGTTTTCAAAGAGCTGCCCACAGACATTATATCATTGGATTCTCCGAGGTAGGGGCCACTACCTCGTCTGACCGAGGAAGAGCCCGAGGTTCAGAGAGGTAAAGTAACGTGCTCTGGTTGGCACAGCTAGGCAGTGGCAGAGCAGGGATCTGAAACCAAGTTTGCCCCATTCCTAACCCTTGGGGTCCTGGGAGTGGCAGCTCGGGCTCGGTGCCACAGAGCCTGATGTCTGCCCCTTGCACCTCCCTGTCCTGCAGGGCTCCTGGTGCAGCAGATCATCTTCTTCCTGGGAATCACGGCCCTTGCCTTCCTGGTGCTCATGCCCATGCTCCATGGCAGGAACCTCCTGCTCCTCCGATCCTTGGAGTCCTCATGGTAAGAGAGGCAGGGAGAGAGGGCTCTAGGACCACCTCCCAGAGGGCCACTAACAGTGCCGTCCTCCCCACCCCACCTGCAGGCCCTTCTGGCTGACCTTGGTCCTGGCTGTGGTCCTGCAGAACGTGGCAGCCCACTGGGTCTTCCTAGAGACTCACCATGGACGCCCAGAGCTTACCAACCGGTGAGGCAGCTCCTGGGCTTGTGGTCTCCTCAGGACTTCAGCCTCTTCTTCGGTTGTCTTTCCCATTGTGTCCTTCTTCCTTCACTGCCATCTCTCCCTTTTCTCTCTCTGGAAGCCCAGTGGAGGCTAGGAGAGCTTGCCTCACCCAAAGAGAAAGGGAACAGTGGCCCTGCCGACTCCAGAATACCTCTCTGTTCACCTTCTGCAGTGCCAGAAATATTCAATGAGCCTTTCCAGCTTTGGGGATCAGCTCTGCTCTCCCCTGGACCCTCTGTGTTCCTCCAAACCATGTGTCTCCCCTTTTGCAGGAAGGAGGTTAACAGAAACATTATTTCCATGTTAGATGGAAAGGCTGTGGGAGGACTCCAGCCCCAGGAGAGACTCAGAGTCAGTGGACAAGGGACCCAGAGGAGGGAGATGGGACACCTGGGTCACAGAAAGATCCAGGACATAAGCCCCAGCACTGCCACTGACTAGCTAGACAGCCTTAGCTAAGCCATCCAATCTCTCTGGGCCTCAGTTTCCCTTCTATGGAAGGAAGGACCCCCACCTGTCTCCCACAGTGGTGGGGGGCAAGAGAGAAAGCCCAGCAGAGGGCAGGGTGCTTAGAAGGTGCACTCGATACACGGTAGGTAGTCAATAAATGCCCGGCAGCTGTGCTTACCTAGGTCTGACCCTGACCCCAAGGAAGGGGCTCTGTGGGGGGAGGCCGGCCTCAGTCTTTTCTCTCCCCCAACCCCAGGCGAGTGCTCTACGCAGCCACGTTCCTCCTCTTCCTCATCAACGTGCTGGTGGGTGCCGTGGTGGCCGCCTGGCGAGTGCTCTTCTCTGCCCTCTACAACGCTGTCCACCTCGGCCAGATGGACTTCAGCCTGCTGCCACCTCGAGCCGCCGCTCTTGACCCTGGTATGGTCGCTAGGCAGGGGCAGGAGCAGGGGTTGCTCGGGCTGTGCGAGTGGCAAGGGGGCTCTGCCCTGACCTAGTCCATGAGGGACAGTGGCGGGTGTGGGCGGGAGGCCACAGGCAGTGCCACATGCTCAGGGGGCAGGCTGTGCAGGAGGCTCCCGGTGTGTGTGTTACGGGCTGGCTGGGGCCCCCCTCCCCCAGCGCTGCCATCCTCCACCCCAACCCCCCTCCCAGGGTACTACACATACTGCAGCTTCCTGAAGATCGAGGCCAGCCAGTCACATCCAGCCACAACAGCGTTCTGTGACCTGCTTCTGCGAACACAGCGGCCCCAGCCCCTCCGGGCACCCCGGGACGGCCTCAGACAAGGGGAGGAAGAAGAAGGTGCGCTTTCCCCCTGGGGATGGTGGGAATTGAGCCCACCTTCTTCTCTGAGGGACAAGGCATGGCCCCCGCCCCCTGCAACACATGGGCTGCATGAGCAGCATAAAGATGGAGGGAACCGCGGGAAAACACTCACTTCCTCTCTCCGTCTGCTGCCTGCGGGAGGAAGGAAGTGAAAATTTTCCTGCTCCCTCTCAGGGTAATATGTTTCCATGATACCCCTGCATCCCGTCTCCCTCTGCTCATCCCATAAGCGTGCACACACACACCCTTCTCACACAGAGAATGGGAGGTCTTCTCCTTTCTCACCACCTCAGAAGTACACGGGAGGGAGGCAGGCACCCAGCTGCCTGTCCCAGCCCTTCCTCCAGTCCCCCCCATAGAACTGTCCCCTCCCTCTTCTGTCTGCCCTCTGAGGGATAACACCCTGAGCCTTTACAAACAGCACAGCCCACACTTCTCCCAACCCTCTCCCACTCTATGAGCTGGGCCCCTGGAGCCCCGGGGTCACCAGCATCCCCAACAATACACAGGTGACTTTCAGACTGCTCAGTTTGGTCCTGCGACAGCGGTTGGCTGGGGGGTTGCTGAGTGATTCACAGAAACTCTCTCCCTCTCAGGGATGCAGCTCCTGCGGACCAAGGACCCCGTGGCTAGAGGAGCAGGGCCCAGGGCCTGCCAAGGCAGGGCCCGCTGGGGTCTGGCCTACACGCTGCTACACAACCCGGCCCTGCAGGCCTTCCGGAAGACGGCCCTGTCCGGTGCCTAGGTCAACGGAGCCCAGTGCTGAGGGTGGGGAAGATGCTGTGTCCTTGTTTGTGCTGGGGTCCTTCCCCTCCTCCCAGCCCACTGCCTCCCCTGCATCCTCAGTGTCACCCTGGCCAGGGCAGCCTCTCCCCATAGCAGCAGCTCTGCCAGCAAGTTCCCCGGATGGGCGACCGGCACCAGAAGCCAGGGGGCGCTGTGGCTGGGTGCAGGTCTGTCTAGACCAGGAGCCTCGGGAGGGCTCTGGTCTGCACCCTCGGTCTTGGGAACTTGGGAAGCCAGCGAAGGCTCCAGAGGACGTAACTGGTGGTTTAGGTCCTTGGTCTGGGAGCCAGTGGAACCGGGAGGCCACATCCAGGCCCTTCCACCAGCCTCAGCCTCACTGCAGCCTTCTCCTGCCGGGGCTTGGCCAGATTCTGGCCAGAAGAGCCCCACGTTCCAGCTCAGCCCCACCTCGGCCTTGGATCTCACCACCACGGAACCAGACACAGTGCTTCCTCTCTCCTCCGGCTTCCCCCCCTCCCTTCTGGGGCCTCGTGCCTTCCTGCGAGGCAGCCCGGGAGGAAGCCACGGGCTCCTCCCGGGCAGCAAAGTCATGGCTCAAACCAGGCCCCACACCGAGCTGGCCACACTTGAGAGGCTGATATTTTTGCAGTTGGTTTGCCTTTAGATGTTATGAAAGAGGTTAGTGTGCTCCCTGTAATAAACTTGTCCCTGAGAAACAGTCCTCCGTAGGAGGAGGGTACATGGGGAGGGTGCTCATACTGCCAGTAAATCAACACTGCATTTATGGGGCTTGGGCAGGGTTGGGGTATCCTGGTCACACATGGGGCTGGGCGCTTCATGCGGGGCAGAGGAGAACCTACAGCTGTATCCTTTTGGGTGGTAGAGGGACTGGGGGCCCTGTGATGCCACCTCTGAGCTATGTGGACATCAGCTCTGGAGGTAGGATTTCTCCTGGGTCCTTGAGAATGGGTAGCACTTGGGGAGGAGAGATTACAGGAAGATGGAAGCAATATGACTAAAGATGTGGAAGAGGGGGCATGGGGCCCAGTGTGGAGCTCTCCTAAAAGGAGTAGATCCTGTGTACAACAGGGAAGGGCCGCTGGGAGGGGTCCCTTCCCTTGCTGGGGACCGGTGGGGGTGGGGGATGTATGTCTGAGGGTGTGGGGTCCACTGTGGGCTTGGTGAGGGTGGGGGAAATGTGACCACTCCAAAGATCTGGGTCAGTGGGGCCTTAAGAGATGTCTGCACAACCTCTCTCCTTGCCCACCTTTCTGCACTCAACTACAGCCTCAAATACACTTGAAGGTAGGGGTGGGGCCAGGGAGCTCGAACCTACCTTTGAGTCTGTCCAAGACGCGGGAGGTGGCGGGGGGTAGCGGGGAGAGGTCAGGCTCTGATCTCACTGCAGCCTGTTGAAAAATGTCTTCCCGGCCTGGTGTCGGTGACTGACAGCATCACAGGGATGAGATGGCAGACTGGGTCTCTTCCCTTAACAAGGAAACAGTCACAATAGAGTGTGATTGGGCTGGGACACTGGACACCCAAGGCTAGGTGAGCCAGAGAAAGGGACCTCATCCATAGCGGGGGTCAGGGAGTAGGGCGCCCAGGCAGGCTTTCTTGAGCCAACTTAGCCAAGTGAAGAAGAGGGAAAGTGTCCAGACCAAAGGAACAACATAAGTGAAGGTGCAGAAGATTATGCATCACAGACTGTCAAGGGAACCATTACTTAGCAGGTCCCAGAGAGTCACGTGGAGGGTGGGTGACATCAGAGAATCAGGCAGAGGGGCGATGACTGGCTGGCTGGGGAACTTGGGCTTCACTCTCAGGGTACGGGGAGCCACAGATGACTTTAACGCAGGAGAGTAACTGGTTCATTCAGAGCACAGCTGTTCCCCAGCTGTCTCTGGCTCAGGTCTTGGGCCCAGGTCCCGTTTCCAAAAGCCAAGCTTGCTCAGCTGTGAGTGGAGCCAGAGACATCAGGGATCCAAGATGAGTTAGGATATCAAGCTTTAGATAATCTGAGTCCATGTTCCTCTTCATCCTTTGTTTTCTGAGGAAACTAAAGCCTAGAGATGGGCAGTGACTTACCCAAGGTAGCACAGCACGGGGGACTTGGCTCTGTCCTGCTGCTTTCCACCAGATGTGCAGACGTCCTGGACATGTGCTGCTGGTGACATCGGCTTAGCAGGAGCTCCAAGCCGCTGAGTGGGGGCAGGAAGTGCTGCATATGGACCCGGAGGAGGGGGAAGGGAAGCTGGCCAGACTCTTTGGCCTCCCTGCCTCTACTTTGCTGGGCTCAACAGTCCCGAGTACAGAACTTAGGAGGCCGCAGAGCCTCTCCCATAGGGTCTTGTCCCTATGTGTAGCACTCTTCTGGCTAGAAGGGGCTGGGGCTGGGGACATATCTCTGACTCAGCACAGGCGTGGGGCTTAGTCTCCAGGTTCTGACTCCATCCATATGCTCCCCATTCTAAGAGCCCTGCAGGTTGCCGCCAGGCCTTCCCCACCCCCCAAGTCAGTCACCGATCCACCTGATCCACCTGATCCACCTGCTTGGAGGGGAAGACTTCCAGGACCAACTTTCCTCCAGGAATACCATTTCCTCTTCCTGGAAAGCGCAGTTCGTCTCCTTGGGTTTCCCCCTCGAAGATGCTCTCTTGTTCTCACTCTCTGGGTCTTTCTCCCACTCCCCCTTATCTCCCTTGCCCTGTGGCCCCATCTCCTCCTTTCTCTTTCCTCCCTGTCTTGCCTTGTCTGTCTCCATTTCCTCTCTGTTCCTTAACATCTCTTCCAGGAGCAGGGACTGGGGGAGGGGCCACAGTCCAGGTGCTTCCGTTCCCTGCTCCCCTCCACAGTGCCTCCTCAGGGCACCACTGGCATGAAGCACGGCTCAGGGCCATGAGGACCAAGGGAAGCCTCCATGACGGTCATCAGGCTCACACCTCCATTTGTCCTGTGGACTAGTTTGAGGCAGGGGGACCATCTGTATTTCAGCTCAGCTTGAGGCCCAGCCCCGAGCCCACTGGTGCACCCCTAGTGCTGCCTGCTACACAGTGTGTGTGGGCCTCACGTGTGGACAAGCAGGCTGGTGATCCTGACCCTCCAACTCCCTATCCTGCCCCCAGCCAGGATGGGGGTGGCGGGGCGGGGGGGGCTAGATTCAGACAAAACGCCAGGCAGACACAAGGGAGCATTGGAAATGCTGTTTATTTCTCGGCCGCCCCTGGGGACGGCTAGCCTCTTTGGAGGGGCAGGCTATAGACGCGTACTTGGAGAGAAAGGCAGGGCAGGTGACCAGGGTGGAGGGGCACAGGATGGGAGGAGATGAAGGCCCTCCTGGATCCTCTAATCCTGTCTGAGTTCAGGGCACTGACTCCTGAGCCCCCCAGATCATCAGGGAATGCTGAGAGGCAGCAGGAGCTCAAGTAGGTTACCAGGAGCCCAAAGCTATGCCCACCACCACCTGAGAGCCTCCTCCCTGTCTGCTTTAGGTTTCTTCCCTGCCAAGCCCCTAACCCTGTGCCCCCAGCCTCTGCCAGCTCGTCAGCCCCAGTGCCTGGAATTCCATCAGTGGGGCTTCCCCCGGCCGGTTAGGCATCGCCCTGTTAGCGTTCCGCCCTGACCAGGTAGCGTGGGCAATGTGGTTAGCAGCAATTAGCACCGTACAAGGTGAGTATGGGATCAAATTCTGCTCTAGTCTCTAGCTTTGAGCAAGTTTAGAAGTTGGGGGTGGTGAGTGTTCCCGAAGAGGTGAGAAGGGAGGTAGGAAGATGTGAAGTCCCCCTCGCAGGCCTTGGGGGTCGCCACCCTCGGACCCTTGTGTTGCTTATGACAAGGGACATCCACAGAGTCAGGGAAGGAACTGGGGGGGCGGGGGGGCTGGAGTTGCTCCAGCCCAGCGCAGGGAGGGGATAGGGGAAGTCTAGATAGAAGTGAGAAAGAGAAGGAGGAGACTCTGGCCTAGTAGGAGCAGGCCGGGGGGCTGCTTTCCGGGGCCCCCTTCTCCCGCCGCTGCAGCCTCAGGCCCCCCCGCACGGCTGAGGTAGATGATGACAACGTTGTCCTCCGGACCCGAGGGCTGCACCTCGTTGTCAACCGTGTAGCAGCCCTTACCCTCCGCCGCTTTGCCGTGGAACTTGCGCCCCAGTGCATCCTCACCGCCCTCGCCCGGCGTGGCCAGGGCCACGTTCACTGAGCTCTCCGCACTGCCTAGCTCATTGGTGGCCAGGCAGCTGTAGGTGCCCTCCTCCAGCTTGCCGAAGTCGGGGATGAGCAGGCTCCCATTGGCAAAGGCCTGGAAGCGAGGCTTGCCGCTGGCCACCGGGACCCTGGACAGGGCACGCCCGTCAGCGCCCACGTTGGGGCTGGTGATCTCCACGGTGCCACCGGGCGTCTGGATGTGCCAGTGGAGCTGGGGGGCCGGCTGGCCTTCCACGTCGCAATGGAGGGCCAGCACGAAGCCTGGCCGCAGCTCGGCGCCATCCTGGCTGGGCTGGTAGGTGAGCTGCACCGAGGGCGCCGTGCAAGGCAGCGGCAGCAGGCGGCTCAGAGGCGTGCCCTTGAGCACGTGGGGCGAAGTGCATGTGATGTTGTCTTGCTCCGGGATGGACACGGCCGTGGTCAGGGCCCACGTCTTGAACCACACGATGCCGCAGGTGCAGTCAAAGGGGTTGTCGTTGATCTGCAGGTGGGACAGAGCCGTGAGCGGCGCGAAGGTGCCTTCGGCCAGCGTGTGCAGGCGGTTGTGATTGAGCTGCAGCGAGCGCAGTGCCCGCAGGCTGCGGAAGGCGTCCCGGGGCACGAAGGTCAGCTCGTTGCTGTCCATCTTGAGCAACTGCAGGGCACTGAGGTTGTGCAAGTCGCCCCAGGCGAAGTCAGAGATGAGGTTGTGGCTGAGGTCCAGGCTCTTGAGGTGGCCCAGGGGGGCAAGGGCCCCAGCAGCCACCACACGGATTTCGTTGTGGGCCAGCCATAGCGACTGCAGCAGGGGCACTTCTCGGAAGGCGCCCTCCGGCAGGCTGGGCAGCCGGTTGGCTGACAGGCTCAGCGTGGTCACGTTGGCAGGGAAGCCGGGAGGCACCGCCTCCAGGTCTCGGTAGGCACAGTCGGCGATCTGGAAGCCGTACTTCTCGCTGCAGTCACAGGGCTCAGGACAGGCCTGTGCTAGGCCCAGGAGGACCGCCCAGCACAGCAGACACAGCTCCTGCATCCTACCTCCTGCAGAGAAGGACATGCCACCAGGGTGACCCCAAGGACCCCTCTCAGGACCCCAGCCAGACAGAGCTCTTCCCGTTCAGGAGGCCCTGCCCCACAGAATCCAGCTAAGACCCAACACCGCCTAGCCCCCCTGCCCATTCTACAGAAGGGGACACTGAGGCCCCAATAAGGGCCAGGACTTGCCCGAGGTCATGCAGCCAGAAGGGGCGAAGACAGGATGGAAGAGGACCCCAGCTCCTCCTCCAAACAGAGAGCTCTCCCTGCCTCGGCCAGCTCCGAGCTGAGTTTATGACTTGAAATCCGTTCTCAGCCGCCCCCCTCCCCCTGCACTCCACAGAACCTCCCTCCTGCCCTCCCACATCCTGGCCATGGCCCCTCCCACCAGAGCCCCCCATAGGTATGCTTTGCCCTGGCCCAGACAAGGCCCCTTGTGCAGTGCACACCGCCCCCACCCACCCCGACCGCCCCCTCCTGCGCCTACAGGCTATGACCGCAGCAGACACCAAACCCTTTCTACAGAATCACACCCGTGGCCTGTTCCGTTCAGACTACGCCAGGCAGCTGCCTAAATAACCCCCGCCAGGACCTCTCAGCTGGCTTGGGTGAGGCCAGTGGTTCAACCCAATGCTGCTGGGATTTCTGGGGATGCGGTTGCTAGAGGGGCAGATGCCCCCTGAACGGATGCAAACAAGGGATTGTCCCCAGCACCCCGAACTAACGGGAAAGTGCCAAGCAGTCGAGCCTCTGTGCCCGGTGGGCCTCCCCCTTTCCCGCTGGCTTACCTTCAAACCACTCTTCCTTAGCCAAGCGGATCCTCTTCTAAGATGGAACGAAAGAGTGACAAAGGACAGAGTTAGCCCAGGGCGGGCTGCAGAGTCACGGGCACGCAGGGGAGGACAGGGAGGCTGGAGGAAAGGGCACCCTGGCTCCTGCCCCACCTTCGAACTGCTCGCCCGTGCCCGCCCTTTCCCAGGCAGGGTGCCTGGGGCCTCGTTGAGAGCAGGCTGCAGGAAGGGAGCCCAGACAGCCCGGACACTCCCTCCTTCTAGCAAAACAACTGCTTCTCTGCAGCAACAAGGACCCGTGTTTCATAAGTGACACCAGAAACTCGAGGGGGAAAAGATGCCAAGTTTTTTTCTTTTTTTCCCTCTCTCTCACTCACTTTTAGCAGCTTCAGCTTCCTTAAAGACACAGCACTAGCTGGACAGGACCCAATAAAAGATGGGGCTAGAAGGATTTTTATGGAGCGAAGAGTGAGAATTGAATCTCATGGAAGGTGGGAAACTTCTAACCTCACTTCAAACAAGAGGAAAGTGGTGGGGGGCTTTCTCCACGCTGGGGGCCGTGTGAGTGATTGTGTATGCACATGCATGTGACATTTCTATGTGTGGATGAGTTTGCGTGTGTTTGTGCAGATGTGGGTGTGAGACCATGTGTGTGTGAATGTGTGTGTTTGGGAATGTTTGAGTGTGTGTTTGTGTAGGTGTGAGACCGTGTCTTTTTGTGTGTCGTCTCTGTGTTTGTCTGGTGTATGTGAGTTTGTGCGTGTATTTGGGAGGGGCTGTGTGTGTGTGTGTGTAGAAGTGTGTGCCTTTGTGTCCGTGTGCCTGTGTGAGCGATGGTGCATTTCAAGGAAAAGCCGAGAACGCCAAAGTGCATGAAAAACTCGCCAGGCGCCGACACCCAGCAAGAAGCCAAAATGTTAGTCCCGTTTTTGTAAGAAAACACATCTTCCTCATCTGTGCCCGGCCTGCCTGCTGGCTCTGAGGCAAGGCTGTTCTAAACACACGCTGTCCAGGGAGGTCCCGAGGCGCCGAGGCGCCAGACATGGCTCCCCACTTCGCCAGGAGGGGTACGACGCGGCTCCAAACCCCACAGCAGAGAGCTTTGGACACGAACCCATTGGGTTTCCCTGACTGGGATTTTGAGGTACCCCGGCTCACACAGATCGTTCCGCTACCCAGGACTGCCCACCCGGCAGGCGGAGGTGAGGCTGAAGGTCACGCTCCTTCCAGAATAGTCTCTGTGTCCTTCCACACTGCTTGAACTCCCACCAGCGCTGCTGCGCGTCTGTGGAGGCTGCACTGCTCTCTGGGCTCCGCTCTCCCAGCACCAACTGTGTGGAAGGGACGATGCCTCCAGGGTGAGGGTATACCTGACCTGCCCCCCTCCCAAGCAGGAGGGCCCAGAGGAGTCGGAATAGGAGGGGAAAGAGGCCCCAAACAAGACAGCCAGAAGAGAGACCCTCAAAAGATGAGAGAGCCCCTCGAAAACACTTTGTAGGCTGGGTAATTTTGCCCTTCACAGCACGAGGCTACTCCTATCCGCTCAGCCCCTGCCCCCAACTTCCTTTTCCTTCTGTCCTGGCTGCGTTCTGCTCAGGACTCATCTCACCCTCCTGGCAGGGCCAAGGACAAACAGGTATGGTCTTTGGCTGGAAGGCTCCCCGGGGAGCCCTCCATCCCAGCTCACCGTGTTGCCATTTCCCTGTCACCGAGCGAGGCTGCAGGCACCACGTGCCGCCTGCGAAAAGCCCTCAGTCTGATACCGAGAATATTCTCTCAGTCCGAGTTCAGACCCACGGTGGGTGGAGCCTTGTCTGGCGTCGTCGTTACTGTGCTGGGGAATTTGGGGAAAGCCCTGGACTCCGTGGGTCCACGAGAGGCTGGAAGCACACACATCCAGAGTTCAGTAAGCCAAAGGGGAGAATCAGCGACCTCGGGGTCAGTCACAGAGGGTTTCCTGGCGGCGGGGGCGTCACTGTGCTGCTGTACACGCCTACACCGCACGCCAGAGCGCTGCCTCCGAGGCGCTCTCAGGAGCTCACACTCTCCACCGGGGCTCCCCCTTCCAAAGCACATGGGCCCGACTGGTAAGATCCTACCTCCCCAGCCCTGAGACCCTCCTGCTGTGGCTGGGACCTGGCATTTCAGGCTTCCACCAAACACCCTCTCATCAGAGCAGCCCTTCGGACACCACCAAAGCTAAAACAGGTTCTCCTGTTAATTGTCCTCGCAGACCTCCCCGGTTTTTCTTTCGAGTTCTTACAGTCATCTTTCACCACGACCCTTGTTTTCCCTGGAGTTGTCTTAATCTGGGTGCAGGGAAGGGGGGCTTGTTGTGGTTTATTTTTAATGCTTCTCACTAATTCAATTCCCCCCTCTCGGCCAGTTGGGTATATCTTCTTTCAACCGAAATAAACACATAATGTACTCTATCAATTTTATCTTGGAGAAATCTCTCCCTGAGCCTTCTGACCTGCTCCACTTCATTTTTTTAAGTTTATTTATTTATTTTTGAGAGGGTGCAAGAGCAAGTGGGGGAGGGACAGAGAGAGAAAGAGAGAGAGAGAGAGAGAGATCCCAAGCAGGCTTTGCACTATCAACACACAGCCCGACGCAGGTCTCAAACCCATGAACCGTGAAATCATGACATGAGCCAAAATCAAGAGTCCGGCGCTTAACTGACTGAGCCACCTCCAATTTGGCTTATTTGGTCCCTGGCTTTGCTACCGTCACACAGAGATGGCCCACCTCTGTTGCTCAGGGGTCCATTACTCAGCTCTCATGTGCTTCAGCCCTGGAAACGTTTCTGATTGACTACTTTATGATTTCCTGACTCCATTTTCTCTGTTCTCTCCTTCTGGAACCCCAATTAACCAGATATTGTGCTTCCCGGAGGGACCCCTAACTTCCCCATCTTTCCCCTCCTTTGTCTCCCCTCTGTGTCTTCCTGTTCTGTTTCTAGGAGGCCTCCTCTAGGTTACCATTCCACCCTTCTGACAGAGTGTTTGGTTTCTAAGCTTCAAATTTCCAAGATTCCTTTTTATTTGCTGAGTGTTGTCTTTAAAATATGCTGTACCCAGTTCCTGTTTTGCGGATACTGGAGTTTATTTCTGCAAAGACAATGGTAGCTGCCTCTCTTTTCTGTTTAGGCTTCCTTCTGTCTGCACGGCCTGTCTCCCTGTTGGCTTGCTTGTTTGGCCTCGGATGATTCACTCGGCAGAAACGTATTCCTATGTGTTTAATGTGGGAACCCTCCATGAGAGAGGAAGCGCATTGAAGGCAGACGTCTCGTCTTCCCAGCTGCTGTTAATCCCTGGCACAGAAAAGATGTTCGATAAATAGTCCTTGACTCGATGAATGGGCAAACGGGGGGTGGGGTGGGGGGGGTGGTCATCGAATGCCAGAAATAAAAGTGCCACAGAGGCCACCTTCTCTACCACCTCATTTTACAGATGGGCACTCAGGGTCCAGACTGGGACAGAGACGTGCCCAAGGTTACCCGGTGCCTTAGGATAGGACATTTTGAGGAACATGTGGGAGAGCCGCACCGTGTCAGGTGGTCGAGCATGTTACCAGCCTTCCTGAAGGAGGAGAGCCCTTGCACCCCCACTCCCCATCATCGAAGGCCTTGATGACGGCTGAATGGTAGTCAGCCCTCGGAACCTCCCTGTGGAGCAGCCATGGGGGCCTGAGGGCAGAAAAAATCAGAGGGACTTGCCTACCCAGGCAGAACTGATTCTACACACATTGGTCACTGACAGCTCTTGCCCACTGTCCAGATCCCACCACTGCCTGGGGGTGCAGCCATGCCCCACCTCCACCAGGAAGTACTCTAAGAGAAGCTACCGTGGCCAAGAGGGCCCCAACCAAAACTCATCTGCTCCTCCAAGGTACTTGACAGTGGGTCGCACAAGACCACCTCTGTGGACCCGAGGGATGGTTGTACGCAGCCACCAGCTATTCACATACCTCCAAGGAGGGGGGCTTATTACTTCCTAGGCAGCCCCTCTAATCCCTCGTAGCTTTCATAGGCTGAAAGTTCCTCCCCAAAGCCCATCCCACAAGAGATGATGGGATCAGGCAGGAGACAAGGCTGAGGCTGGCTCTCTTACCTCCCCCTAGCCCAGGAGCTCCCTGTCAGCTGCCTGGGCCACCATCTGCCCTGTCCTGGCCTCCTCTGAGCTGGGTCAGTCCCCAGGACTGGAGGGTCAGGCCCTCACGCTCCTCCACCATCCCTTGGTCTTCAGCAGCCCCACCACAGTGGAAGAGAGAACCGGGGAGTGGGGAGGGGGAGAAAAGGGACCAGGTTTGGGAACCCTTCCTGCCTGCCCCAGCCTTGGCTCCTATGGGCCTCAGTAGTTCACCATAGAATGACCAACTGTGCCAGTTTGCCTAGGACCGAGGGGTGTTCCAGGATGACAGACTTTGGGCACTAAAATCCTGACAGTCCCACGCATGATTGGTCACCGGGGCAGGGGACGTGCCCACTTCTTCCTGCAGAGATTTTCCTTCCTGCTCCCTGTTCTGCACCCCCTGCCCTTGGCAGAGGCGAAAACTTTCTCCTCCCTTTCCTCCACCACCCCTTCCAGGAGGCTGCCACCCCTCCAGCTGTGGCTGCTCAGCGGCGACTCCTGCACCCCAAAGGGGCCTCACTCTCGCTGACCAGGGCGCTGCTGGCACAGCCACGTCAGCTTTTCCTGGAAGGCCAAAAAAGATCCCAGAGAAAGAGAAAGAGAAAGAGAAAGAGAGAGAGAAAATAGAGTGAAATGGACAGAGCACGGTAGAGAGGACTAGGGAGAAACTGAGACAGACACCGGAGGGAGAGAAAGCAGGGGCTCACCAACAGCCCGGGCAAGATCCGAGGCAGAGAAAGCATACAAGACACAGAAAGAGCGACGGAGAAAGAGGGTCTGATGGGCCCTGAAGCGGGCTCCGAGAGGGAGGAGACACTGGGCACTCAGATGTGACCAGTGTGCTGCCGGGGCTGTAGCCAGCGTCCCGACTTGGGCAGGTGGTCTTCATCCCACCTTCCTTCCCTCCACTGCTCATTGGGATCATTGGGAGGAAGCTCAGCAGCTCACGGGGCCGGGGGAGGGGTCTGGTTGGAGTTTCCTGGGGGTTTCCTGGGAGGGAGCAGCCAGCCAGCCTGGGCCCTTGAGAAGATGGGGCTATGAAAGGAACACTGCGGGTGCCAGCGGGGCGCCTACGGAGGGGGCTGAGATCTGCCCACACCATCAGATTACTGGATTTGAGAAAGTTCCTCCCTTTCTTGGGCCTCAGTTTCTCTGTCTTGTGTGGGAGTCGGAAGAGGAGGCTTAATGTCCTTCAGCCCTGGTGTTCTAAGGAACGTCTGCATTTACCCCTACATGAGGAGTCTGCGTGTACCCGTGTGCTCACGCTCAGTCAGTTCTACTCGTGCACACGTGAGCCTTGCTGG